CGTCCTCGGTGGGTGTGGGTGTGCCCCGGCGGGGGGGGGGGGAGGGGGGTTGTCTGTCTCTTTATCTCTCTGTCCTTTCTCTCTTACTATCCAGTGAGTGCACACACTTTATGGCAGAAAAGGAAGAAAGAGAGAGAGAGAGAAAGAAAGGAAAAGGAAAAGAACCAGAGTTCCTGGCAAAATGGCTGATTCTAAGATTCAGGCAGGGAAAATATGAGGCAGGAATATATGATAATACTATAAAGTAAGAAAAATACTCAAAGACTAAAGAAGAGGGCATGTCAAAGCAATGTAGAAACAAATCCTTATAGATTCCTCAGTGGAAAAATCCCCACATTCAAAATTGGGACATTTCAAAACAAAATGACTTACAAAGTAAAGTACAACATGTGTATTGATGAGTCCACACTGATATGAAGAATGAAATAATAAGGCAAATGAAGAAGAAGAGATAAAACTTTCATACAAAGATCTCAAATACTATATATAGAAACTGTTCTCTCAAGGGAGGTGAAGTTTAAACACTTCTATTCCTTGAATGTGGACAGAACTTACTGGCTGGCATCCAAATAACAGAATATTGAAAATGAAAAATAGTAGTTTTAAATGAAAAACCTGTCAGACATTACTTTAAATAATCAAGGTCACCTGGATGCTAAAGTCATATGGATATATAATGTAACTCTGATGTGATATAATATATGATGCTATATGATGAGCAAGATATTTTGTGTCTGTGATATTCTTATTCAAAACTTATTCTCTAAGTCTAACCATCAGAGACATAGCAGACAATGCAAATTGAGGAACATTCTATAAAATACTAACCAGCAGTCTTCAAAATTTTCAAGGACCTGAAAAGTAAAAAATGAGAAATTATCTAATATCAGTGAACGACAGAGGAGCCATGACAACTAAACCATGTATATGCAGAAATAGAAAAAAAAAAATGATGGAAAAACTAATGAAAACTATAGCTTGAAGTCAAATCAATAATAGTATACCACTGATATTGCTTTCATAATTTTGAGAAATGTGTGAAGATAATGTAAAATTATAAAAGAAACTAAAACTGACTAAGAGACAGATGAAACTATCCTTGCAGTTATTCTGTATATATATATAATCAAAAATTTAAAAGTCAATTTATAAAACAACGGATTTTATTTTTAAGGTAATAAAGTTGATAAAATATCTTAAAACTTATTTTAATCTTATTGAAATATATTTTATTTGGTATACTTTAACTGACTATGCAATGGAATATAATAACAAATTAAATCAACCAACAAAAAAGTTTTAAAAAGGTATTTTTTGGGGGACCAGCGGTAAGCATAATGGCTATGCTGCTGGACTCCCACATAGTTGACCACGGTTTGAGTCCTGGACCCGGTGGCTTAAAACTCATGCCGGGCATGTGTGCATGCGTGCCCAAGATCCCAAAAGGACAATGGAGGAGGGATTGCAGAGTGGCCATCCCCCCTCGGGAGTTATTTCTCTCTTTCTGTCTCTCTGTCTCTCTTTGTCTGTCTGGCCCTATAGCAAAAACCTCTCCAAAAAAAAGAAGGTATTTTTTTTTCACATTTGAGTATGAATAAATTTAATCTTTCTACAAATGAATGCATTTGTCACAGTTCTTTGTAAATAAGTGTATACAATCTGTATTGGATTTTAGGCTAATGCTTATTAAAATTATTTGGCAAGATATTTTAAAGGAAAAGCATTCACAGGAAAATAATTATCTTTTTTTCTTCATTGTTTATAACTTATTTTAACCTCATGTCAGATAATCTGAACATTGTGACTTTAAAATGCATTTTGACATCTAAAGGGCAAATTTCTCATTATCTTTCCTTTTGAAATTGTCCTGAGAAATTTTGCAAGCATATTCTTTCAGAAGTATTATAGATTCATTTTGTTAAGTTTCATGCAAATTTCACTGGGTTCTGTATAAGAAGATATGTACTGAACTTAATTTAGAGAGGTTTGGTTGATTTAAAAATATGTAACCTCCCAAGTTCAAGTGCATGGCCAGTCTCTAAAATTTTTAAAAGAATAGCTCCTGAATCATTTTAATTTCTTTTCTTAGAATTCTTTTTCATGTTAATCTCACTGCTGTGGGTGAAATATTTCATTTCATATCATTTTCCTAACTATCACTCTGGTACAAAACAAATCTATAGATTTTGTTCATTTGTTTCACAGCAAAACACTTGACTGAACCACTTGTTATTTTAATACTTGTTTAACTGATTATCTCATGATTTTTTTATAGAGTTAATTTTATCACCTTCAGGTTGGAACAAGAAAAAAAAAAAGCATCTTATTTTCGTATGCTTACAAGTAACATAATTTTCCCAGATAATTGTATTACCAAGTACTCACAGAGCACCGTTAGAATAATAATAGCACCCTGGTAATAGATTTATTCTAAACTTCAGTGTGAACACTTTTAAACCCTATGGTTTCAAGGCATCATTTGCTTATTTGTTTCATTTTGCTTCTGCTCTTTAGGACGTAGTTTGTGGACTGCAATAAGAATCTCGACTCAGTGACTCTCAAAGTTTCTACTTTTTTCTTTTCTCTCTCGCTCTCTCTCTCTCTTTTTTTTTTTTTTTACATTCAATCATTGTACATCTTTACAGCTTACAAAATGAATTTTACCAGCATGAATACACGGTCCATTAGTCCAGTCAAAGATATTACCATACACAGTATCATCAGCAGATAATTTTCCATTTTTCTGTCTGTTAAATGTTTTGCCTATTTTTTCCCTTGGTTTTCTCCCTCCCACCACCACCCTATTTCCCACCCTTCTCTCACACTGTCTCTAGTATCCACAGTTGCTCCCCATGTTTTTATACCTTCCTATCTCAGTTTCTGCCATGGAGTGCATGTATTTGGTGTATGTTGATTGGGAATATATTATACAATGCCTTTCTTTCATAGTCTGGCTTGTTTCTACTTTGACAGTTTCTATTTTCCTTTCACCTACTAATAAACTCTGTGAGCGAATGAAATGTCATACCTAGCATCCTACAGCATTTCCATCATGAAATGAAAGAAGTCCAGCTGCATTGTTGACTCTTCCTCCCTCCCTTCTTCCTCCTTTGTTGACTGTTAATTTGCCCTGTCAAAACAGAGTCAACAATTGAGCCCTAACACTTGCTTTGGTTTGAGAGTTTATTCTAAGGTATAGTAGAGGCAAAACAAATCATGAGAAGTACACAAAGTGCCAATCCCTACAAGCTTTTTGTCTTGATACTTTAAGAAGAGATTGCAAAAACCTTAAGTAAAATATCAGTTGGATAGTACACGGAAATATTTTACTAAAAGATTTTAATAACTTCCAAGTCAATAAGTCCACTTGTTGTTTCTCAGTGCCCATATAACTTGAATACATAGTACCAATAATGACCATATCCTTCTTCCAAAAGGGCTCCCCTCCTTAAACACTGAAAAACAATAGTATTGTGATACAGTGATAGCATGCTGGTTTCTGTTTGTTTGTTTTCCATTTTCACTGGAACCTTCTTCTTCAGCTTCTCTTTAGATTCTTCTAGTTCTTCTGGCCTCTTCTTATTTAAGTAACTATCTAAAAATATTTAATCTCTCTACCAGTATAGACATTTGTCATAGTTCACTGATACACATACACTTTCCCTCCCACCACCACTGTATTTCCCACCCTTCTCTCACAGTCTCTAGTATCCACAGTTATTCTCCATGTTTTTATACCTTCCTATCTCAGATTCTGCCATGGATTGCAGGGAGTTGTTTTTTGTTTTGTTTTATTTTATTTTGTTTTGTTTTGTTTTGTTTTGTTTTCTAATAAGAGGTCCTATTCACCTCTAAGACTTGATCTACTATCTCTTTAATGTCCAACTTGGTCTCTGAGCTCTTGCTTAAACTCTATATCAGGATATTCTACTGGTTCCTCAGTGTTCTTAAGATGTATCTTTATAGGTTCCTCAGATAAAATAATGTACAAAACTAAATTTATTTTATTTTATTTTTCAAAACTGACCCTTTGTTTTCCCCCAATATATAGTATCTGAATGCTGGATGGTATGTATACTGGCCATAATAATAATAATAATAATAAAGTCAAGATATTACAGCTACTTTTCAACTGATTGCTCAAGCTTAAGTCAGAATGTCATTAGTTATGTCTTATTCATCTCCATTTCCCAAATCTGCCCTCCCAACATCTCTCATGTTCATTTACTCCTTTACAGATCTATCATGCACCAAAACTGGTCATATGCTCGCTGTCCAAATTGCATTCATCTTCCTACATCTACTCCAATCCTTTTCCAATCTAGTCTCCTCAAGTAGTGGGCAGAAATGTGATATAGCTTTTAATATAAAGCTACTTGTAATAGTCCTAATTCAATTATCTAATAGCTTTTAAGTTTGTAGGATGAAAAATAATATATTTTTCAAGGCTTCTCAAATCTTTTACACTTATATCACACTCACATCTCATTTTATAAATTCCTCATTTATTCAGTTATAAGGACTACTTTCGTTTTCCTGAATGTAGCATGTTCTCCATCAAGGTTAAACTGTTTCATCAGGGTAACCTTCCATGACACTTTATGCTGGCATTGTTTACTATGACTTTCTCTTTGTAATATCTGTTATACATTATCGGACTTTATTATTATTATTACCAGAGGACACATGTGATTCCCAGAGAAAGAGAGATAGGGAGACAGAGAAGGACAGGGAGAAAGCACCCACAGTAAAGCAATCCCGTATCCTTCATTTCTCCATCCTTTTAGAATATAGGACATGCACGCACACAACCAATGTGCTCTCAAAATCTTTGGGGACAGGGTTTGAAACATAGTTGGCCACATGAAACCCAGGTCCTTTAACCACTAGGCCATGGGACTGGGCCCTACTTGAATTTTTAATATCTATATTTGCAACCAACTAGGGTTTCTTTTTTTTTCACCACAACTTTAGCATTTGATTTAATTGCATTTATTCTCCAGCTATACTTGTGCTTTCATCTTTAAAGTCACTTTTGTAATTATTGTATGCAAGGTGTACAAGAACTCATGGAAAATGCAGCTTATGAAAATGTTATGGATGGATTTCAAAAGCTTTTATTAATCACCAAAAACTAGTATATATACACAGTCACACAGAAACACAAGCTTCACTCCTATGCAGCTTCATGGACATTCCCATATTAAACTTTCATTATAGTTATTTCTTCTTAGACATTCCAGTTTTTAAAATAACCTAGGCCAAAATTAATTGCTGGGTTTTAAGCATTACAAATGATTTCCTACAAAATGCACAGTTTGTCTGCTATGTTTAAATGAGATCAACTTGCAATTACTTGGGTTAACTATTTCGCCTGAGGAAAGTAGTAAATGTCATAATGTTATTTTTCACTAGCATAATCTTTGTCCCTTCTCCCTTAATATTTTACGAGATGTATTTTTAGCAATTTTCTTATCTTTAAATTTATTTTTTGTTGGAAGATACATTTAATTTATCAACTCATAATTATAGTAGGCATTTGTTATACATATTAAAATTGGGACACTACCAGATCCTTAGGCACTATTTCCCGTTTATATCTCCACAACCATGGGAATTAGATGCTTCCATCACTATGGGAACTACTGATGTGCCAGAGGTCTCACATTTCAAAAGGCATGTTCTGTTTTTTAGAATATCTCAGTGCTCCAGATACATGCTTTATTCCACACCAAAGTTTTGTCAGTTTTCCACTCTCTCCTTTGGGGTTTAATAGCATTAAGACAAAAGTAGAATTTTTATATTTCACAGCTATTTCATCCAAATATAGTTCTTTCCGCATTGTTTGTATGTGTTAATTTGCATACTTACAACACTATTTTTCAAGTGGATAATCAGAAATCCTACAGAGAAGTGGAACTTTCAGAATAGTAGTGTGAGGAGCTTGGGGAAACCTTTCCCTTACTACAATATCTATTAAGCGGCTTGAAATGTGCAGATACAATCATTAAATGTCTCTGGAAATTCTTCAAAGGAGCTGACAACAATTTGGCAAAACTGATAAAATTCAATGAAGATCTGCAGAGCTCAATAAAAACAGCCTGTTTTTTTAGCTCAGTGCTGCTCCCACCCCACTCAGCACTCTGTTTTGAAGAATATTTTCTGCATATTCTGCAGCTAGGCAGAAGTTCCATTTCCCTCAGTCCCGTGGGTGGCAAACGCTAGCCATAATGCCTTACTGCAGAAGACCCATACGAAGTAGGTAGTGGCAGTGGATCAATGGTGTCATGCACTACTCTCAACTCCCAATACCTAATGAGGACCCCAGGAGACAGCTGGTAGGGAGTGGAGTTTCTCTTTCCCGCAGAGTTCTGTTTTACAGGGTAATTGCTCTGACGAGCTAGGCAGTCAGATGTCAGTTTTAATCTCTTTCAGCTTCTTAAGAAAAAGACTTATTCCTGATAAACTGGGCAGCCAGTGAACCTGGTATATCCCATTCTCCCAGTTTTGAGCTGTAGAAGGTGGTACAGACAGTTTTTGCTAATGCCTGGCCCAATACATACACAAGGTATTCTCCACAGGGGAGAGGCCTGTGAGGCAGCTGGGGCAGATGAAGCTCCTCTCTGTCTCCTGCCCACACCCTGCTTCTTCTGCAGAGAGTTCAGATAATTTTTCCTGGAGAGCATTGGAGCCAGCCTTAAAAATTAATGTACAGGGACCAGCAGTTGGTATAATGGCTGTGTCACTGGACTCCTATGTAGTCGACTGCAGTTTGAGTCCAGGACCCGGTGGCTTAAACTCACATTGGGCATGTGTGCCCAAGATCCCCAGAGAGAATGGAAGAGAAGGGATTGAGTCATGGCCATCTCCCCGTGGGATGATTTCTCGCTTTCTGTCTCTCTGTCTCTGTCTTTCTGGAAAGTGCACATGCCCTATAGCAAAAACCTTTCCAAAAAAAAGAAAAAGAAAAACTAATGTACAGTGTATTCGTGCTGGGAAAATTCATTTTGTATGTTCTAATGATATACAGTGATTGAATGTAAAACAATAAAATAAAATACAAGATTTCTTTTGAAACAACAAAAACTAGTTAACACCTCAGTCCTTGCAAAGTGATCCAACTTCAATTGATTGGGGTTGTGGAGCAATTTAAACCCCAGGCATAGTCCCCAACAATAAAGTAATCAGTAGCAATTCATGGAGAATTAAAGCTGGATATGATATCAATAGGTGCCAACTAGATGAAAAATTTACTAAATCATCAAGAGAAGAGACTGCCAAAGAGAATCCACCTAAAGACAAAAATGAAGCTAAAAAAACAAAGCTATGTGTGATATTTTTATATGGTGAGGCATAATATAACACATTTAAACCAGCGATTCCTTCCCAAGAGAAACTGAAACATCCAGCCATACAAAAAACATATTTGTATGTTCATGGTAACATTATTCATAACTGTTCAAATTTCTGTCAAAGGGTGAATGGATAAACAAAATATGATTCATCTACAAAATGGAACTTTATGTGACAATAATGATGAATGAAGTACTAATAGATGCTACAAGAGTGGTGAATCTTAAAAACATTATGCTAAGTGAAAGCATCAAGTCACCATGGCAACATATTTTATGATGCTGCTTACATAGAGTATGTAGTATAGGTAATTTTATAGAAGGCACAATGTAGATTAGTGGTTGTATTGCAAATGGAGTCAGGATGCTTTAGTCTGGCTGCATCACTTTTTATATTATCATGTTCGAAGGCCACCGGGTAAACAATTTGTTATTAGTTGTACTGTGTTGCACGCTTGTTATGTAATTATGACTGCTGTTTTATGCCATTGAATGCAATGACCTTGTGCATATATGACAATTTGGTTTTGGCAATGAGTAACTATTGTCATAGCACCTTTAAGAGGAAGGGAGCACCTGACCATTTAGCTAGCTAGTTCTCCTGTGCTCCCACCTTGGCTCAACTGAGAAGCCCTGATAACCTTGGCTTGGCTGGATCTTGGCTCAGCTCAGCTCTGCATTGTGAGCTCCAAGAGAGAGGAGCCACTCTGTGAGCATTGTTTATGTGTGTTATAAGCTCCAAGACAGAGAAAGCACTTTGCGAGTGCTAATAGAACTCTGAGAGCTCATCGAACTCAGCTTAAACACCATACAATCAGTCCTAAAGGTGTCTTGTGTCTTTTTCCAACTCCTGGCATTTCAATCTGACTTACCCTCCAGGGAGAAGAGAATGTGAATTAGTACCACCGTTTTGGAAAAAAGTATGGAAATTTCTCTAAAAATTAAAAGTAGAACTACTATATAATTTGGAAATTCTGTTTCTGCATATATATCAGAAAGATTTGAAATCACCATATGCCAAAGATATATCTACAGTTACATGTTTATTATAGCATAGCTTATAAAAGCCAAGCTATGGGATCAACTTAAACATCTATCAACAAACTAATGGAAGAGAAAATATTATACATATGTATGTGTGTGTATACATACACACAAACACTATAGAATACTATCCAATCATAAAAAGAAGAAAATTTTGGCTTGTGAAACATGGCTAAATCTAGAGGATCTTACACTAAATGATTGATTAAGCCAGGCACAAAAAGACAGCTACTGCATGATCTCAGTTATATGTGGAATCTGAAACAATCAAACATGCAGAGGTCTAGAGTAGTGATGGTTACCAGAGATCAGAGGGTTCGGGGAATGGGAAGATATTGGTCAAAGAGTATAAAGTTGCTATAAGGCAGGAGGATTTAATGACAAGTGTTTGAGGTAATGATACATTATCTTGATACGTCATTTTGTACTGTGCACATTGTAAGATTACTATGTACCCCTCTCTTCCATTTCTGTGCTCTTCTCTCCTCCTCTTTCTCTCTCACACACATGTGCAGAAACACATACCACAAATTACCTAGTGGATTATATTATATTAAATTGTGACTATAAGATTAGTATGTTCACTGGAATATCATTCATAGAATAATCCCTAAAGGATAATGTTAAGAGTAGACTGCTAAAAGGTATGAGATTAAAAAACAAAACAAAATACAAAAAAAAAAAAACCCACATATACACAAATTACTCCAGAATAGCATTTTCTATCATGTTATAAACATTAGGATACATTTATACATTTCAGGAAAGTTTTCTTACAATAAAACTTAATTGGTCCAGCTCATGACAAGGTGGCTGGATCCCACATGGCCAAATGCATTTTGAGTCCCAGACCTTGTAGTTTGAGAAACATGCCAGGTCCAAGTGTTTGTGTGCCCCAAATCTCAAAAGGATGTAGGAAAAGGAATTGCCACATGACCATTCTCCATAATGCACGCTTTTCTGATTTCCCTTTCTCTTACTCTTTCCAGCGAACCCACACACCCTTTGGCAACTATAAGAAGAAAAAAAGAAAAACTTAATTATGCTTTATACATATCTGATTTATATACAGTGATACTAATTTCTACACTTTAGACTTATATTTCTGTGCAATATTTGCTTTCTAATTGCTTTAAGCTTTTGACATATTAATTTGCAATCTGGTACAGTGGCTTGTTTTTATTCAATGTCACTGAATACATTTGTAATGATAAGTTTTCTATTCAGGGCTTTTATTTTAGAAGTACAACATTTCTTCAGTAGCTGCCAGAATATTGCTCCAGGACACCCTGCAGATATCAATCTTTGCAAAGTTTCAAGTCTCTTATATCAAACGCCGTATTTACATGTAACATATGCACAACTCCTATATACTTTAAATCTTCTCTAAATTACTTATAATACTTAATGCAATGAAAATTATACCTAAATAGATGCTCAACTCTATTGTTTTAAAAATTTGTATTATTGATATGGAAAGTTGACAATAATTATTTTGCTGAATTCACAGATTCCTTTGTACTACATTATTGCATTGAGATACACTTTGTTTCTTTTACTTCCTTATGTAGGTCACTCTTCAGTAACTGATTTTTTCATCATTGATTACATAACATTATAATAAATAATACTATGTATATATCTTAAACTTTACTTTGTATGTAGTGATACAAGTTGTTTCTTAGAAATGCATTTTTCTAATTCTCAAGTGTTACTTTCCCTTCATTCTCAGAGGTCCAAGGTCAAGATGCAGCATTTTCTTGCTGGTGGATAACATGGTGCCAGCCATCCCACAGTAAGGCAGAACAAGAGTATGCATGTCAGTGTCTGTATGTCTGCCTTATTCTGTCTCTTTATAAACCCTCCAAGATCTAATTATGTGGATTTTACCTTGATAACTTTATATAATCTTAATTACTTCTCAAAGGTTTAATTTCTTAATCCCATAGGTTAAGATTCAATCCTCTTTACACCAGCTCAAATTTCAATACATGAGATTGGTGGCAATACATTAAAACCAGAACGTATTTTTACTTCAGTTGAATAGTTAAGTAAATGTCTGGTTAGTAATCTCAATATTAAAGTGAACGTTGCTTACAAATAAGGGCAAGAAGAAGACAGAAATGAATTATGTGGGAATAGATCAGAGTTGGAGACACATGAACTCTTGTTTAGTGTTTAGTTTAATCTAATATACACCGATGGCTACATACAGAAATGTGTGTGGGAGTATATACACAGGTTAGTACACACGCATAATTCTCTGGCCTAGAAACAAAAATGCGGTAGGAATGAATACACATAGAACACATATTTTTGGCATCTAACACATTTATCCAATAAAAAGAACCAGGTTTTTTTTGGTTCTGTTTTCTTAATGGTCCATTATAGAATGGGGGAAAAGAAAGGTGTCAGATAAATTTATCTGAGAATCTTATTAGCCTCAGAAAGTAAGAATATGCTCAAAACAAAACAAAACAAAGACCAGTCAAGAATGTTACAAGGAGACGGGAGTCAGCTGAAAGAGTTCCGAATGGCCAAAACTGGGACAATTTAAGCAACAAAATAAACAAGTATTAGATAATAACTGAAGTACATAAAATACACGATTCCATTCTGATATAACCAGGCAAATGACTAAGAGACAGACAATCCTACTCCAGAACAATTTCAAATAATTTATGTAGATACTCTTCCATCTCTGCTTGTTAAATATGGGCCACATTCATTGACATTCCTCCCAAGGATACAGTACAGAAAAAGAGAGGAAAAAATAAAAATGAAAACAAAAATAAAACTATGTAGCAGAGAGTTCTAAAAAGCACTACTTCAGGGTAGGTGACCACATCAATAGTGATAAATCATATTAATAGCAGTTATGCCTGATACATAAGGAGAATATCAATTTACCTCTGGTCTTCATCCAGAAATTGCATTCTAATCCTAAGAAAAACATCAAACCAATACCAATAAAATGTGTCCTTTACAAAATTCCTGAGACCTGAAAAAAAAAGCAAAAACTATCAGACATCATCAAAAAGAAGCCAAATGTGAGAAACTAATAGCCAAGCGAAGCCTAAGGGGACAGAATTACTAAATAATATCTGATAACCTGGATGGGATTTGGGGACCAAAAAAGGGTGTTAAGGGAAAACTTAGAAACTCTGAAAAAGTATGAACTTCAGTTAATATGACAACATGGGTTCCTTAATTGTGGCAAATAGTGCTGTAAATGCTTCTAATATTGGAAACTGGATTTGAGATACTGGGGACTCTGTACTATATTTGCAATCATTCTGTACTGTATTTGCAATGCTAAAAATGTTCTAAAATAAAATATTACATTTAAACAAACTGCATATAACCACAGGACAAATGAGATGCCAGAGAAAAATATCCTGAGAGTGCCTTTTCTTGTTAGAAGAATGCATGAGTGTGATTGGAGAGCTGTACTCAGATCTAATAATCATGGACATAAATTGCTTTGCAGTCAAGGTAAGTTCAATTTAAGACCTTCTACCTCTCATTTGTCCCATAAGTGAGAGGCCACGTATAGTTCTTTGAATTTCGAATTAGCATTCTCTTTATGATCCTCTCATAGCACTAAGAGTTTGAGCTGTAGGATAAACGTGGGGCACAGCTGGATTGACCCATAAGCCAGAAGGCATTTTGCCTGGGAAACTCTCTGTGGAGGAAGCTTTGCAAAGATATGGACAGAGAAGGAGTTCTCTAATCCTATTTTATTCAAAGGCTGCATTTTCTGTTTAGTTCATTTCTAATGGAGATTTGAACTCTTAATTAAATTCATTAGATAAAATGTTTGCTCAGCTGTGTAGGTTGATCCAAAGTTACAAATGTGCCTCCAAGGGCAGTTTTTGATTTATGAAAAAAAAAAATGTCTTGAAAGCATTTTTAATGGAATCAAACTGCAAGCTATGACTTTTTAACAATACCTTGTGTATTTCAGACACCAGAGTTTAAGATCAAAGAAGCTGATTACATTATTGGGGGGAGGGATAGAGATTTGGATAGCATATTAAAATACAAATATGTTTTAACATTTTTCATAAAACTGAAAGCCTTATTTTATAGTTTATGATTTCTTATGTTTAGTCACTTTACATGTTTATAGGATGTAATATAGTTTTTCAAAGCATGTGCACAGTGCTTGGCAATCAAGTCAAACGTATTATCATGCATATCATTTTCAACAGAGAGCTTTACATTTTTTTGCCCATTCAATGTTATACTCCCTGAGTGCTTCTCTCCTACTCCCTCATATCACCCACCTCCTATAAAGTCTCTGGTATCTAGCATTAACTTTTTAAAATTATTGTATGTCAAATGCAGTACCATCATTCACATGATATTTTCATTCAAATCATTTCGTTCAAATTATAAAGTATTATAAAATCATGGAGTCATTTACCAAGGAGAATGTATGCATTTTTTTAAAGAGGATTTTTTTTTTTTTTTGCTATAGGGCATGTGAGCTCACCAGACAGAGAGAGACAGAGAGACAGAAAGCGAGAAATCACCCCCCAGGGAGGATGGTCACACCGCAATCCCTTCTCCACTGTTCTCCTCTCATGCATGCACACGCGCCCAACGTGAGTTTTAAGCCACCAGGTTTGGGATGCGAACCACGGTCGACTACATGGGAGTCCAGCGACATAGCCATTATGCTAACTGCTGGTCCCTTAAGCATTTTTCAAATATAAACTGTATTGGTGGGATAGAGATATTTTAATCCCTAATGAGTTTATCTGCATTTATCACAAATTTTACCAAAATATAAAAGATTCCTAGTTCACTTATGATGTCAAGATACCATCAAAGTAAATTTAGATAATGATCACCAATACATATGTCTAAATTTTCAAAACTTCAGGAAATCACTTATACTTCCTAATTTTACATATTTAATCTATTTTTCCCTCCGCCTTTAGTTTAGCTGGATTTACATTCCTGTTTGTATTTCTGTTTGTAAGTATGAGCTTGTGTGAGTTTCTTGCTGGGTGGATCTTTCCTTTTCAACAAATTTGTTGGGAGAAGGGGCAGAGAAAAGGCAGTCACCATTTCATTAGTTTGATGAGAATTGCACAACATACTTTATTTTAAACATTTAATACAAGGATAGTACATAAGACTTTTAGTAACTTGAGTTAGGAAGAGAAGAGGGGAGAGAAGAAAGAAATTAAAAGGAAAGAACACACATTAACTGAATGTCTATTACGTCCTAAGCACTGTCCTGATCAAGAGAACCAGAAGGCAAAAATATACTCTGTGTTACAGAAGGCTGCAGTCCAGTGGTGGAGAAAGACATGCAGTCTAGGAACTACAGTAAAATATAGTAGTTCCTATGCAGGACCATAGAAGAGGACATGCACCTGCCTTAGAAGATGAAGAAAAACTAAATGAAAGAACTTAGACTGCTATATAAATTTTTATTGATGCCAAATTGATATCTCATTCTTGACTTTATTTTTAGACTAGTCTTAACTGGAGAAAGAAGAGTAAGTATAGAATCTCCCTTACTATTCAATTTGAAATAACAACTGTTTATATCTTTCCTTTGTTGACCTATCTGATCTCCTTTATGTGCAATCCACTGGGTTGGCCCCCTGATACTTGTGGATGGCAGTTGATCTCACTGCTTAGAATTCCAATCACTGTTTCTCTCTAATTCCTTTTAACTTTTTTGAAGTCAACTAGGGAAATTTCAAATTTTCATATTGGAAGGTGAGAAAATCTAGGATGTTCCTTACATAGTTTGGAAATTAATTTATCACAAAATACATTTGTGTGCCTGGAAAATTGTAACCCACACAAGACAAAATAGAAAATGGAACACTCAATTGAATTACATATGTATAATAAGAATGTAGACGCTTACTTAGTTTTATTTGCCTTTTTAACCTATAGAAAACATTATTTTCTTGGTGCTTTGATCTATGGAACTTCCTTCTCATTTTTTATTCGTGATAGAGACCATGTATAATGAGAGAGAGAGAGACAGAGAAAGAGAGAGAGAGAAGCACCCTCAACAAGGCTTCATCACACTGCGATCCCCCTTTTCACAGCTCTCCAGTTTGTCAGGATCTTGGCTCCTCATGTATGTGCCCAGCATATTTTCAAGCCAACATTATGATACGATGGTTGGCCATGTAGCTTCTAGCACTCCACTTTAGTTTATTACTGATTACACTACCAAGGGGGCCTTGATCTGCTGAGCTTTTGATTTCTCACACCCTAACCTCTTCCCCTGCCATTAGAAATCCCTACCCAATATCTTAAGCTTTCAATAACATTCAGAAATATTTGTGACTGGTTTGCTATTAAACCAATTTAGTCTGACTGTAATTTATGTTGGTGTGTGACATAAAGTAGGTCCTTGCTTGATATTTTGCGGTCAATGCCACCTGTTGGGATATATGCTAGGTACTGTAATCTCGAAATGGTGTAGAAAAAGAGAGAAATTAAAGAGGGCTAAAGTTAGGAGAGTGGCCTGGAAAATTGTTTCTGTATTTCAGACGAATGACTTTCTGCTTCATTCTCTTTACAGATTTTGTATCCTAAAGTTATACCTCCATAATGGGCCAAAGTCAATATATGAAGCTACCTCTCTAATCTTGTTGCATAAAATATAACGTGTTCTTTGTTCAAAAAATGTGCTTCTTGGGAACCAGCAGTTAGCGTAATGGCTATGTCGCTGGGCTCCCATGTATTCGACTGCAGTTCGAGTCCCGGACCTGGTGGCTTAAACTCACGCCGAGGGCATGTGCGTGAGTAAGTTCCCAAGAGGAGAATGGAGGAGAAGGGATTGCAGCATGACCATCCCCCCTGGGGGGTGATTTCTCGCTTTCTGTCTCTCTCTGTCTCTCTCTGTCTGGCTGGGGAGCGCATGCGCCCTATAGGAAAAACACTTCCAAAAAAAAGAATCTTTCCTAATGTTTCCTCTGAAATAAGATTTATAGCAAATGCCTAACTGATCCTATAAATGACCCTTTACTTAGTAAAATTTCTGCTACAAGCTTAATGAGATGGACTCTGTGACTAATCTGTAGAAATCGGAAAACCTTAATAAACATTAGGTTTGTTCTCATAGCATCTCTTCCAAGAGAGAGAAATCCAGAGTTAGAAGGATATATAGAATAGTAAGCTAATCACTCAGGCAGTGCATATTTCCACACAGAGATTTCATTGTTGAAAAACTTTTTTTTTCTTTGAGAGAGATTTTTTTTTTTGCTACAGCAAAGGCACATGCGCTTGCTGGAGAGAAAGAGAGAGAGAGAATGTGAGGACCCCAGCGGGTATGGCAACCCTGAAATCCCTTCTCTTCCATTTTCTTCTTGGAATCTTGGGCATTCATATACATGTACGTGGCGTGAGTTTTCAGCCACCAGGTCTGGGACTCAACCCATGGTCGACTACATGAAATTCCAGTGATGTAAACATTTTCAAGATAGCATGTTTCAGGTTAAGTAAACAGAAAGTACTGAGAATGAGATGAAGCACTAAGAATTAGATGAGAGAATTTGATCAGAGAATTAGATTTATAACATGCAAATAATGAAGACCTTGAATAAAATAATTACCTATATTTTAGGCATTTAAAATTAAGCTGTATTTTTATTCTATCATAAATAAATGAGAGTAAATTTGAACTATATACTTGACTTTATTATTACAATATTATGCACCTGGTACATTTTAAAACTCTTTTAACTAACAACCAGAGAGGGATTGCAAGCCTAAGTAGTAGATCATTACGTAGGTAGCTACTAGTCAGATCTTTAGCTACATAAATATAAAATCACTTGCATCAATTTATCCATAGCGATGATTATTGAACAAACTGTATAGGACGTATATGTCAAAAAAGTAAGGTATTTCTCTATGCTATACATTTTCTACTGAACATAATAAGCATACTTTAGTAATTAATAAATAATCAAGAACTTAATAGATTCAATTTTATCAGAAATTAATCCAGGGTTCTTTTTGTAAGAAGAATGATTTATTTTATTTTATTTGTTCTTATTATTATTTAATTTGCTATAGGGCACATGAGCTCACCAGAAAGACACACACACACACACACACACACACACACACACACAGAAATTGAGAAAGAAAACCACCAGGTACAGGACTTGGACCATGGTCAGCCACATGGGAGTCCAGTCCCCTAATCACCACATCACTTGCTGGCCCAACCAAAGGTTCTGAAATCCAATAAATTTGTAAAAATATAATAGAGCAGGAGAATTCTGTTAGGCATACAGAAAAAAGGAATATCCTGTGGGAAGGGTAGGTCCTTAATAGAAAGACTTTTGCAAATATTATTCTAGCTCAAAATTTCACGTAGTGTAACAGCAATCCATACACTAAAGATATTGTAGCTTTCTCTATCTACAACTAAGAACAGTCAAAGGAAAGTGATAAGATTTAGACTTCCTATTGTATTGCCTATGCTTTTATACAGTAAGATCATAACTTGTCCTTAAATAACAAATACATCATAATAAAAACACTTCTTATTCTTATCAAAGGTCAAAGGCCTTACATTCTAAATGTTTAGAAATCTAGACATTAATATTTTATTTCCTTCAGAATTGGATAGGATTAATCAAGCTGAATATTCATGTTTTTTCTTCAATCTTAACAAATTAATATATATTTATTTATTTACTTTGTTTCTTCAAAGTCCTGGGACCAGCAGTTAACATAATGGCTATGTCACTGAACTCCCATGTAGCTGACTGCAGTTCAAGTCCCAGACCTGGTGGCTTAAACTCATGCTGAGCACGTATGCGTGGGTGCCCAAGATCCAGAGAGGAGAATGGTGGAGAAGGGATTGCAGCGTGGCCATCCCCCCCCGGGGGGGTGATTTCTCACTTTCTGTTTCTCTGTTTCTCTCTGTCCTTCTGATGAGCACACACACCCTATAGCAAAAACCTCTCCAAAAAAAAAAAAGAAAAAAATTCTAGTTATATTTTTTCTTTAGTACTGAAGTATTTAATTAATGAAAATGTTAAAACGCCCTTTATACTCTTACAGCTACTAAGAGAAAATATATGTGATAATATTGCTGCAGATGCCTTTTCAAATTTATGTAGCTACTGCTAAATTATCATATTGCAAAAGCATTTCCCGCTTTCTCTGCAGAGAAAACATCTATACAAAAGTTCATAAGTATTTTCCTCATGGTATTTTCTTTCATGTACATGTATCTATAAGCAATATGGGCTGAACGTTCACCCAAAATATATTTTACTGTACTGGAGACTTTATCAACCCATAATATTTTGCAGGAGTCAGGAAAGGTGAAGTGCTATAACAACCACAAAATCTGTTTCTCACACTGTAAAATTACCTTCTTCACTTACCATGGAAAGCAGGCTAGCAGAATGATTCTCTACCACACAAACTTCGTTGGATCTATACTGCTTTTTTCTTAAGGCACAGCTCCACACTATTATATGCTCAAGAAGTTGTCTATATTCTGCTGATAAGGGAGGAAAAAGAGGATTCAAATGGGGAGGCTTTATAAACCAGGAATAGAATTAGCATGTATTTCTTGCAGTCTGTTGGTCAGAATTCAATAACCTGGCCATAATTTCTTGCAAGAGAAGATCTAGAAATACAGTTTAAGCCCAGTTCTAGGACTAGTTCTGCACTCTATGGTGAAATTATATACATATGTGTGTGTGTGTGCGTGCACATGTGTATGTGTGTGTGTGAGTAGTCTAAAAAAAAAGTCTTCCCTTAAACTATTGATCATGATGGAGTATCTTGTATTAAACAAACTCTCATAAAAAACAAACCAACAAAAAAACTATAAAAATTAGATAAAATACATAAATCATTTGAAGCCATTAGCGCCCAACCAAAGCAGTTAGGATTGAGATGGATCCGTTCCTGAGAGAAGTGCAACTAAGAATTTGAACAGAAAATGTGAGTTTTGCTGAACTGAGAATAAGAAAGAAGTGGCATTTTCAAACTGTCATAACAGAAAGTGAGGGGGATATCAGGATAAGGAAGAAATAAGAATTGAGTCTGACTATCCATGTACAATTTCTTTTAATAAATCTGAAAACTCCAATGCTGCATTCTTTGCAATGTAAGAAGAAACTCAATGTAAACCACTAGCTTTTAGAGTAGAAAGATGTACAAAGATGTTAACTGTGGCATGGGAGGGAAAAGACACTATTTGGTCCCTGTCAGGTAGGAGTTATTAAACTCTTGAATAAAAGTTAAAATATGTATTATAACCCAATAAATGATTTTAATATACATACATTTGTTAATCGTACCATCATGTCTGAATTCATCAACTTTCAATAAAACATGTTAGATTCCTTTATTTCTGGAGTTCCTCTTTCATTTCAGTAACCAGTAATTCAATATCTTAAAAATATATGTCATTGAAAAGCAGTATTCCACTTCCTTGCAAAATTCTTTAGGCAATAGCATTAAAAATATATCTTTTAATCTTAGCAACTTGAAGTGATACTTTTAAAAAAATACACACAAGGTTGTTATGTTAATTTTAAGCATCTGTTTATGTTGGCTTTTTAGCACACTATAATTTCTCTTAAAGCATTACTTTCGGCTTGAATTTATATCTTTTGATTTTACATATTAATGGTGGTGGTGCTAAATATTTGGTGATTTTATTGCCCCATTAACCAATCCACTTCTACAGATAGCATTGCTGCACTTTGAATACTTCAAACTTTATATGGCTGCTAAACCAAACTATATATGAGAGAAGGTACTTCCAAATAAAACTATTAATAACACTAATAGGAACTTCCACACACTATTTTGAAAGTAATTTCTTCCAGATTGCTCCCCACCATTATTTGCTTGACTAATACAGATACTTTCAGAAAAGTCAAAGTGCATATTAACTTTTTGACAAAAAAGGATAGAAAAGTTTGCTTCATTAATTGTAAATTAAGATTAAAAATAAATGTTAAAATGGTTACTTAACAAGCTTTACTAATAATTTTTAAATACAAACTCTAAAGTTGCCTTGATTGCAAATTGAATTTATTTTAAAAACAAGAGACTACAAAAATATTTACATTTAGTTGCAAAAATAAAAGATTTATTTTTTATTTTAATATGTTCTTTATTTAGCTGATAAACACTTTTAATATATCACTTATAACATAGTCCTCCTGTATGTGAAAATTGCATGGCTTCCCCTACATGTAATTAGGTGAACCACATATGAATGCATCCATACATTGTTCAGGGGAATTAAATCCACTACATTTACATGTAGTTTATTGGTAAGTCAAATTGCAGTGAAAGTTTCTAAATATAAACTTCCAATTACAATAGTTGCTGGATTTAAATATCAGTAACACACAGGGAGAGAACACCAGTAGTCCATGTACCACACTGTCAATAGCACTAGCTTAAAATACTATACCATCTTCAACGATAGACCACACAAGTTGAGTACCTGTGGAATATTTACTAAATGCAGCTTTCTATAAATATCAAAATGCTGAAATTATCCGAATCATATTTTTTTGGCCATAGTAGAATTAAGCAATAAGGAAGATTATTAGAAACTCTACATTTAATATTAATCAAGAGAACTATAAATAATGTATAGATTAAAAAATAATGCATAATGAAAATAAGAAAATATTGTAAACTAAAACATAATAAGGGGTCTGGATGATAGCTTATTGGAAAAGTATGATACTTTGCAAGGCTGACCCACAGGGGAAGGTTCCAGGTTCGTGTTCATAGACATCCCTGAGTACATTCAGCACACACATCTCATAGCCAAGGCTGGCTGAGGCTTGGGATGGGTCACAGTGTTGAGACCCTTTTGGGGATGTTGTCACATTATCTCTCTCTCTCTCTGTTTCTTTCTCTCTTTGTCTTTATCCCTCATGTAAGAAGTAAATAAATAATTGAAATAAACAGAAAATAAACACATAAATAAATGAATTAATATAACATCTCAAAACTTATGTGATTTAGTTGAAATTGTGCTTAAAGAAAACATATTGCTATACTGCACATTTTTTGGAAAAGAGAAAAGCTAAACTATTAAGCTTTCATCTCATAAGCTAAAGAAAGTGTAAAAAAAAACTCAAAATAAGGTTGAGAAAAAAGGAATATAAAACAGCAGAAACCAAGAAGATAGGATCCAAATGTATAATAGAGAATATCAGTAAAACCAAAGGGTAATTTTTAAAGGTCTACTAATAAATTCATAAAAGACAGATCATGAAAAAGAAAAAAAATGTAGATACTGGAACATTAAGTGTGAAAGGATATTAAAAGGCTTATGCCAAATAGTTATTATAAATAAATTAGACAAATTTCTTAAAAGTCACACATTTCCAAAGATGACACAAGCAAAAGTAGAAAATGTTATACTCTCTCTGCAAAATGAACAGAATAAAAAATTTGAACTCTTCATATCAACTCTAGTTCCAAACGACTTACTGGTGAATTCTTCTAAACTTTAAAAAGTAATTCCATTATTGGGACCAGCAGTTAGCGTAATGGCTATGTTGTTGGACTTCCATTTAGTCGACTATGGTTCGAGTCCCAGACCCGGTGGCTTAAACTCACGCTGGGTGTGTGTGTGTGTGTGTGTGTGTGTGTGCCCAAGATCTCGAAAGGAGAATATATTTTATTTGGTATACTTTAACTGACTATGCAATGGAATATAATAACAAATTAAATCAACCAACAAAAAAGTTTTATAAAAGGTATTTTTGGGGGGACCAGTGGTAAGCATAATGGCTATGTCTCTCTCTGTCTGCCTGGCGAGAGTACACGCCCTGTAGCCAAAACCTCTCCAAAAAAAATATGATGTTTTAGAGGTTTCTTTTTTTTTTAGAGGTTTTCGCTATAGGGCGCATGCGCTTGCCAGACAGACAGAGACATAGAGACAGAAAGCAAGAAATCATCCCACCAGAGGGGATGGTCACGCCGCAATCCCTTTTCCTCCATTCTCCTCTCGGGATTTTGGGCATGCACGCACACGTGCCTGGCGTGAGTTTTAAGCCACCGGGTCCGAACTGCTGGTTCCCTTAGAGGTTTTTATTTAAGTTTTTTGTGTCAAAAGTATCAAAAAAAATATTGGAGTGAAGAGTGGAAGAATATCTCATAGAGAAAAGTCAAGATATGGAATATAATGAACTAGGAAACCATTCTAAAAGAAAAAAAAATAAGATTATCAGAATAGAAGACCTGAAAACACTTTTCACAACAAGATTTCAGAATTTGAATAGTCCAGTGACTGCAATATGTTATCTTATTCTTTTCTATTTTCAAATGGGACTGTTTATTGAGTTATCTTGTCACAATTTCACTATTTTATATCGTAGATTTGTGGTACAGGTAACTTTTCATTTTATATGGTCAATGTACAGACCAAAAGATATAATATCTGGAACAAAATCAAATCACAAATTAGTTTCTGGTTGCTGTCATAATTGGGTGAAATAGAAAGGATCCTAGAATAAGAACAAACGTATTTTTTTTTATATAAGTAAGATACAAATAATTATGGTTATATGTTGGAGACTGGCAGACAGATGGCATTGATGGCTTCTAATACTGCCTTCTGACCATAACACTGATGTGAAATAGTATATTGCCTTCCTATGCTGACTCTGTATTAACCATGTGTCTTGCTTTTATAAATGGCATGTTAGCAAAAGACATACACATGACCTTCAAAATGACATAAATGTTTGGGCCAGCAGTGACTCTTGCACTCATGATTTTGCCGTGAAATGATCACTAGACTAATATACTAAAAAAATATATATATATTGTAAGTAGATATGAATAATTTCAGGTTCCTCAGAAAGAAGTTGTCTTAGATAAAAGGATATATACAGGTATATAAACGAACTCAACAAAGATAAGCAGGACCACCCATATAACCTTTAGGTTTATGAATTAAATAAATGCTAAATTATTTAAGCCATTGTGTTTTCTATTTTTAATTTATTTTTTTATTCATGATAGAGAGTGTGTGTAGATAGAAAGAGAAGCACCCTTAGCAGAGTGTCATACCAGGATCTCCTTCCTCTAGTCCTTCAACTCATCAGGATCCTAGGTATGCCTGGGGTGTTTCGACCCACTGGGCAGGGGATCTGAACTGGTGGTCAGCCATGTGGCTTTCAGCAGTGCAGTCCAACTGTGTTATGTAGGCAGAGGACCACTTGCTGAGTATTGAGAAGTCTTATTAGACAGAATTATGAAAATAGATAATGAATATAAAATTTGTATATGACATACCATAAGCAGAACTTAAAGCAAGATGGATTGTATATTTAAACATAAATTAATTAATAAAGCAATTAATTTTCTAGAGAGTTATGATTTGAGGGTAAGAATAATGTATTAAAAAGACATAAAAAAAACACTAAATGACAAAATAAAGATTGGTTTAATTGGCTTCCATTGAAACTAAGAATTTTTATTCATTAAAATGCACCATTATAGAACCAGCAGATTGTGTAATGGTTACTTCACTAGACTCCTGTATAATCAACCATGGTTCAAATCCCAACCCTGAGGCTTAAAATTTACACTAGGCACATGTGTATGTTTGTGTCCAAAATCCCCAGGGGAGAATGGAAGAGAAGGGATTGTGATTTGACTATCTCCCTGGGGAGTGATTTTTTTGCTTTCTGTCTGTCTCTCCAGAAAATTTACATGCCCTATAGCAAAAATCTCTCAAAACAAACAAACAAAACCCCCCAAAACAAAAAACACATCATTATGAGAGAAAACAGTAAATACAGAGTAAACACAGGAGATAACCGTAATACATATATTTGACAAAGGACTTATTTAGGCTATCCTAGAAACTCCTAAACATTACTGGCAAATGAGAGACATAATTTGTGACTTAAATGAACTTGTTTCTAATAAGATAAACATAAGTAGGTACATAAATAAAAGTATGTTTTGCATAAGAGAAATGCTAGGCAAAAATCTAATTATGTAGCATAATGAAAAATATTGGAGATTTGGAGAGATTTTTTTGAACCATAGTATTAAAAAGAGGAGGCTATACAAGAAAAAAATATGGCCATTGTAGAACATTATGAAGACAGAAAAGCTAAGGTCTAGGAAAAGTAGGTCCAGAGGAAAACTAAAACATAAATAAGTGTTCATCTACACTGAACACTGCTATCTTTTTCTCATTATGCTTTGGAAACAATTGGTGAAAAGGAAGAGAAAATACTATATTGTTAAATCTGGAAATCAATTATTTTCATATCTATTTATGTGAAAAACTGATCTTTAATTGATTTCTATAGCAGTTTACTATTTCATACATTAAAAAGACAGGAACTAAAATATTTACAGATTATAGTGGCTCATTTTCCCTTTTTCCTTAAAGAAATATGCTAGAATTATGATATGTACATGAAGTAGTAAGGACAGTTTTCTAAGAATAAAGATATAGGTTTTTGTGTCAATCATGACAATGTCATAAGAAGGCTCTCAAACAGACAGACTTAACAGACTTTCAGACCAGAAGATAACATAGTATATATCTTATAAATAATATTAGATTATTTAAAAATAATGTCAGGTTTGAGTTTATAAAATACACTGAGGTTCAAATGTACTACACTATTTCACAGGCATATGGGCTAACAATATATCAAATATGTTACTGAATGTTATTGAGTGACAGTCCAGAAAAGAAAATAATTCCATTTTCAGAGAAATATGGAAAAAGGTAATGAAAAACAATGTGACTGTGGTTATTTCCCAGAGGAAACCATTAGGGCTCAATTTTGACTTCTATTCCTGAAAATATTGTATGTATATTAAATTTTGTGACTAAGAATCAAAGAAGAATTATTTATAACCCTAATAGTATAATAAGTACACTTTTCCAAGTATACATTGGAAAGTAGATTTGATGAAATGGAATTAGATCATCATAGTTTAATCCTGGACAAATACTGTGACCAGCAGAATGGGTCTCTAAATAGGCTACTACACAGAACATGTGTAGTTTCCAAGGCTGACTCTATTAAATCTTCCAAATCCAGGAATCTCCCAGAACTTCATTATAGGAAGTAATCCTACAGTTGATATTTAGATTCAGATTCTCAAGGCATGGGAAACAAAAACCAACACAGGCAAGTTCCACATAAGATGGAATGAGAGGTGTGTTAAGGCAGGCTCAAACCTCAGCAAGCTGAAAAAGACTGCTACAAAACTGATGAAATTGTCTGAGTAACAAGGCTGGCCCCATTGCTTAGTGTTAAGGGAGCTGGATTGCTCACAGGTGATCATTTAGTTCAAGTCCCAGACCTGGCGGTCTGAAAACTAACATTCCTACAAATGGAGAAATGGAAGAGAAATTTAATAGCATGACTACCTTCCCTTGGGGAGTGCTTTCTCCCTTTCCATCTCTCTTTGTTTGGCTTTCTATGGTGAGTGTACACACCCGTAAACAATTTTTTTTTAATGGATGGGTAAAAAGGGAACCCCCAAAACAAGAGATGTGAGATTTTTGATTAGTGAAAGGACTGATAAAATTTGTACTAATGAGTGGTATTCAGGCAATCATATTAAGGACCAAGAAGTCCTAATCCTCTCAGTATATCTGACTGCTTCTCCCATCTCAGTTCTTCTTCAATGACTATTAACTTGGGTTACAAAGAAATATTGGTATTATAAGTTATAGTATTGTCTACCTTCCCCTTTCATGAATGAGGTCCAAATTCAAAAATCTTCTGTAACTCTGAGTCTGACTGCTGTTATATTTCTCTAGCTATCTCATTACTGATTACCAGGTCCAGATTCAAACAATGGGTTCTTATACTACAATTTCCTAAAAAACTGACAAAACTTTGATTGACAGGGACTCAAGAATATCAGATTATTATATATCAATTGCTATCTTCTGAGAGTTTCTGGGAAGCTACATGTACAGAAAACAGAGAGCAGCATGGCAATGAAAGTGTCTTATTGGAGCTACATAAGGTCCTGAAGCTCCAATTGAGTGGTTTTTAAACAATGAAGGTTTCAAGGTCTAAGTAAAACCTCTGGCCCTTATGGGTTTTCAGTCTTAAGCTGTCATCAGCTTCTTGTCTTCTGCACATTAAAGATAAAATTATGAGATGTAACTTTTATTTTCTAGGAAGAATGTTGACCTGTAAACACACTAAGGTATGTGTAAAATACTAAAATTTCAAGAGCATTTTTCAGAGCTCTAAGACAAATTCACTATTTTCATGAGAAGAAAATTAACAATTTCATCAGGGTTTCTCTGAGTTCATATAATATTATTTTATAATATCTATTCCACATTTCATCATAACCTTTAGAATCTACTAATTTTACAGGTGATGTCTTGAATGCATAATTGACTTAAGGTCACAAACTCATTTAGAATGAAATTTAAAATTACAAAAAAATTACTCACTATTAGTTTCTTGGAAATATTCAAAGGGTATGACATATTCCTGCAATGACAGGAGAAACATAAGGCAGTGATTTCAAACTGAGTTTAAAAGTAAGCGGTTATAAAAGGTAATGGGGGGGAGGTGAAGGGAGCCTGAATAAATGAAAATGTATGTAACAGTTTAAAATAAAATTAGTTGGGGAATCAGTAGATGGAGTAATGGTTATGTGGCTGGACTCCCATGTAGTTGACTGGTTTGAGTCCTGGACTGGGCAGTTTAAAACTCACGCTGGGTACATGTGCATATGTGCTAAAAATTCCAACAGAACAATAGAGGAAAAGGGATTTTGGTGGGGTCTTCCCTCCAGGGGATGATTTCTTGCTTTCTCTGTCTCTCTCTGGAGAGCACATGTGACCTATAGCAAAAATATCTCTCTTAAAAAAAAAAATGAAGTTAGTTGGGGCAACCAGTTGGTGTGGTGGTTAAAGCAGCTGGATCCCACATAGCCAACTGAATATGTTCAAGTCCTGAACCTGGCAGCTTGAAAAATATGCTGGTGCATATACTTGTGTGCCCAAAATCCCACAAAGAGAATGGAGAAGGAGGGCTTGCAGCGTGGCCATCCCCACTGAAGGGAAGGGTTGCTTTCTCACTATCTCTTTCTCTCCCTCTCTTTCTCTCTCTTACTGCTGAGTGCACACACCTTATAACAAATTTAAAAAAAAATCTCAGTATGCACATATGTAAACTAATTTATCAGGTCATTTGATGGTGTATTGATACATCACAGAACTCCCATGTAGTCAACTGCTGTTCAAGTTCTGGACCCAAGAGTATGAAACACACTGGGCACGTGTGCATGCATGCCCAAAATCCTGAGAGGAAAATAAGGAGAAGGGATTGCGGTATGGCTATAGCCCCGGGGGTGATTTCTCACTTTCTGTCTCACTGTCTCTCTGTCTCTCTCTGTCTTTCTTGATAGTCAATGTGCCCTAGAGCAAAAATCTCTCTAAAAAATAAAACAAAATAAAACTTACAAATGAAATAAGTTTTCATCTAGAAAGTGAATGGTCAAGATAAGAAAAAGAAACTTCGAAAGTAAAAATATGAATAGCTTTAAATACACCAAAATAAAATTTTGCATTCATGCAATTGACAAAGCTGAAAACAGCAACAAAAATATCAATTACTGGGCCAACTGATGGAACGGTTGTTAAGGTGACAGGGACCCACATGGTCAACCACATGGTTTGAGTCTGGGACACAAAGACCTGAAAAACACACCAAGCATCTGCAGGCATGTTCAAAATCCCAAAAGGAGAATTAGGAGATGGGATTGTAGCATAACCATTCCTCATGGGGTGCTTTCTCACTACCCTCCCCCACTTCCTGTCTCTCTCCAGTGAATACATTCACCCCCTAGCAATTTTTTTATTGCCTTAGAAACCTTTTTTAACTATTACAGTCTCTATATTCTTCCAAAGTTAACTATAGCATCATTCTTATGACATTTTAAAATTTACGTTTACTTACTGCACATCTTTATAGTGTATACAACATGACTTTCCCAAGCATGAATATAGTGCTTTTTTTTTTTTTTTTTGAGATTTTTTTTTTTTTTTTTTTTTTTTTCTTATTGGGCACGTGCACTCGCCAGAAAGACAGAGAGAGACAGAAAGACAGAAAGCCAGAAATCACCCCCCAGGCGGGATGGCCACGCCACAATCCCTTCTCCTCCATTCTCCTCTCGGGATTCTGGGCACACATGCACATGCACCCGGCGTGAGTTTAAGTCACCAGGTCCAGGATGTGAACCGCTGTCTACTACATAGGAGTCCAGCAACATAGCCATTATGCTAACTGCTGGTCCCAATATAGTGCATATTAATTAAGCCACAGATATTACTATACACATTATCATCAACAGATAATTTTTAATTTTTGTGTCTGCACTCTTTCTGGCAAATTAAAAATAATAAAAAAAAAAGAACATGTCAATCGCTGATACTGAAGTGCTACAGGGTTTGTGGGCATTTTTACATATGTTTAGAGTAACAATGTAACTGCTCTGGTGCACGTTTTTAACTAAGAATTATTATTGTTTTTCTTAAGGACTCATTTAACAATGAAACAAAGGGGAATATAGTTTTAGTTTATAGTCAGAAAGAAAAGCATTATTATAAGCCTCTATTCATTCCTGTCTAAGTATCTACAGGCTTTGACAAATTCCAGTTAACCTTCCACTGCTCAAGTTTCATCCCTGGAAATTCATTCAATCACAGATTGAAAGTACTTTTTCAAAAATCAGTTGGATCAAATATGTAGATTAATTAGGAACCAGCAATTAGCGTAATGGCTATGTCGCTGGACTCCCACATAGTCGAACTCGGTTCGAGTCCCGGAGCGGTGTCTTAAAACTCACGCCGGGCGCGTGTGCGTACGTGCCCAGATCCTGAGAGGAGAATGGAGGAGAAGAGTTTGCAGCGTGACCATCCCCCCTGGGGGGTGATTTCTCACTTTCTGTCTCTATGTTTCTCTCTGTCTGTCTGGCGAGCACACGCACCCTATAGCGAAAAACTTCTCAAAAAAAAAATGTAGATTAATTTGGGTAGAATTGCCGTTTTGATTATGTTAAATCTTCCAATCCAGGAGCATGGGATGTTCTTCCCCTTTTTTATGTAACTTTCAATACCTTTTTTTTTTTTTAATTTTCATAGTTTTCTTTATAAAGATCTTTGACTTTCTTAGTTAGGTTTATCCCTAGGTATCTTATACACCTTGTGGCTATGGTGAAAGGGATTCCTTTCTTCAGCTCTGCTTCATTCCACTTTTTGTTCATAAATAGGAATGCTATAGATTTTTGTCAATTCCAATCAAAATACCAGAAATATTCTTCGCAGATCTAGAAAAGACAATTATAGAATTTGTCTGGAATCATAAAAGACCTCATATTGCAAAAGCAATCTTGCCCAAGAAGAATGGAGTAGGAGGCATATCACTCCCGGATCCCAAGATATACTATAAAGCTGTGTCATCAAAACAGTACTGGCATAAAAACAGACATGTGGACCAATGGAAGAGAACAGAGACCCCAGAAATAACCCCAAAGCTTATAGCCAACTGATCTTTGACAAAGGATATCAGTCAATCCATTGGGAAAAGGAAAACCTCTTTAGTAAATGGTGCTGGAAAAACTGGGTATCCACCTGCAGAAAGATGAAACTGAACCCCCATCTTTCACCATTAACAACAGTCAACTCAAAATGGATCAAAGATCTGAACCTAAGACCTCAAACAATAAAACTACTACAAAAGTCTCTCTAAGGAAGACATACGAACAGCCAAAAAGCATATGAGGAAATGCTCAACATCCCTCATCATAAGGGAGATGCAGATAAAAACCACAATGAGATACCACCTAACCCCTGTCAGAATGGCAAAGATTAAGAATATAAAAAGTGATAAGTGTTGGCGGGGATGTGGTGAAAAGGGAACCCTCCTACACTGTTGGTGGGAATGTAAACTAGTTCAACCACTGTGGAGAACAATATGGAGGTTCCTCAAAGATCTACAAATAGAACTACCATTTGATCCAGCAATCCCACTTCTGGGTATTTACCCAAAAGACAGGAGAACGCTCAGTCAGAAAAGTGCTTGCACATCCATGTTTATTGCAGCATTATTCACAATTGCCAAGACATGGAACCAACCTAAATGTCCACAAACTGATGAATGGATTGGAAAAGTGTGGTATATATACTCTATGGAATACTACTCAGCCATAAAAAATAACAAGACCCTGGCATTTGATAGAAAGTGGTCAGATATGGAGGATCTATTGCTGAGTGAAGTAAGCCAGGCTATGAAAGAAAGATACTCTATGTATCCACTCAATATATACCAACTATCCGCACTCTATGGTAGAGAGTGAAAAATTGGAGGTCATAAAAGCAGTGAAGGTACTTAACGAGAATAGGACAGTGTGGAATGGGGGAGGTGAAGAGAAGAGGATAGAGGAAGATAGCAAGAGGACAATAGAGAGGCAGGATGTTAGTGAGAAACAGATATGGTTTATTACCTGTTGATGAGGACATGTATAGTATTCTCAACTGGATTGGTCTGAGAAGTTTTTCATGATGGATAAAGTCTTTTTACAAGCAAAATGAGAAATAGCGATTGACTGTTTTAAAAAATAATTAGAATAATAATAATAATTATTGGGAAAAACATAGAAAAGATATTGAATGATGAAGTGAGTAGATTAATGTCTCTGTATTGACTGGCATGCATGGCATTCCCTTTTGAAAAAGCAATGTAGTACACTGTAAATTAAAATCAGTTGCATCTGTAGTGAAATGTAATTATTGTTGTAATTCCTTAAACAATGCCATATAAGAGTATTATCAAAACATTTACATTATATTAGGTATTACAAGTACTCCATAGAGATATTTAAAGTATAGGATGTGTAGGTTTTATGCACTATTATACCATTTTGTTCAAGGGACTAGAATGCCTATGGTATTTGTAAGAATCTTGGTGTAAGAATCTTGAACCAAATCCTCACAAATATAACAGAATAATTATATTCTTAGTCAAGAGGAGATGCCATTCTCTTTTCTTCTTTGATATCCTACACTGTAGTTACACCGTCAATCCAACATTTAGTGCTTAAATTCTTTTTTTAATTTAATGTTATTTTATACATTTAATCACTATACGTCATTTAGCTTGTAAATTGAATTTATCCAACATGAATACACTTCACACCAGTCAAATTGAGGGTACAAAATACGTTATCGTCAACAAATAATAATCTTTTTCGTTCCATAGATGTCTTACCTCCCTATTTTTCTCCTTAATTCTTTCTTACACTCTCCCCCTTCTCCCAGCCATTTGTCTCCATATCCATAACTATTTTCAATGCTTCTATGTCCTCTATCTTTCCATTTCCACCATAGAGTGTGGACAATAGGTATATATTAAGTGGAGACATACAATATCTCTCTTTCATAGCCTGGCTTGCTTCACTAGGCAGTAAATCTTCCATATCCATCCACT